AGAAGGGAAACATCATGTTATTAATCAAGAAAAAATAAGAGTGTTCAGTGTCAATGAGAGGAGACTGGGGCTACTCAGAAATAAGTCAAGAGCACACTCCACGGCTGAGCCATGAAATGTGCTTGGCAATGCTTATGAGGGTAAAGAGAAGAGAAGCAGTAGGGAAATTAACTTATCTGGACAGATTGGTGAGGAACAGTAAAAGCTGAAGAATTAAGAAAATACTAGAGTATAAGCCTTGAAAATTAGAAAGAAGGAAAAAAAGCAGAAATAAGAGTCCCCATTTGGTATTGCTAATCAGTAGTTTTTAAATTTCAGGTTTTTTTTTTTTTTTAAGATTCATTTATTTATGCACACAAGAACTAGGATACAGGCAAAAGGTTAGGGGGTGAGAGGATTCACCTGAGACACAGTGGGGAGCAGAATAGGTGGACTGACAGAAATACACTGCTGAGGGGAGCAGCGGGCGAGACAGGAGAGGTCTGCTGCGCCATGTGGGTTGTTCCCTGGCCGGGGATTGAACTCATGCTGCAGAGGCTGTGGACAGCTTCATAATGCTGAGACTTAACCCCTTGCACCTAAAGTTTTGTTTTTCAACTAGGCTGTATTAAACAGAGTAAAAAGTATTATGTATATGGCCCATGTGATCTAAATGTTTAATAGCAATGCTAAGTGCTCATAACTGAATGTAGAAAGTACAGTGACACTAGTTCAATCAGTATTTGTGGTGAGGTGTTCTGCCTCATGCACTCAGAGCAAAGGCTTCTCATGCTTCTCAGGAGTCTCCACTCAGCTAAAAACGAGGTTGGTTCAGTAAACCATTTCTGTATATGGCCAAGTAATAAATATCTTTGGTTTTGCAGGCCATCCAGTCTCAACTCTACCATTATAGCACAAAAGCAGCCATTAACAAATGGATAGGCTGTGTTACAATAAAATATTATTTACAAAAATTGGCAGCAAGCTAAATTAGATCCACAAGCTGAGTTAGCCTGGTCTGGAGGAAGAGAGGCCACACAGGGGGACAGTATGGGAGGCTGTCGCTTTCAGGCCCACACCCGGAAGCGGCGTACACCTCTTCCACTAACTCTTCAGTGAGTCCAAACTTGGTCACATGTCCTCACTTAACTGAAGGCTCTAGCTGTGCATCCTGTTAAATTAAAAAGAAAAGAAAGAAAGAAAAGAAAAAGAAATCTGGATCTGGAAGCCCCTACCCCCACTTCCACTTTGCAGTGGAAAAAGTAGTCTGGTGTTACAGAAAAATTGAAAATGATCTAGAACACATCCATTATGTTTGTTTTGGAAAATTATTTACTGCTGATGTAAAAAAAGCATGACATAATATAACTTGCTAGGTTAACTATACAGCAAATGAGTTAATGATGACGGTAAATTACCTGTGATTTGTAACTGAAAAGAGTAGCAGCAAATTCAAAACACATACAACTCAATACCAAAGTGATCAAATATTTTCCTAACAATTACAACTACAGGGGGGTTGCAGCATGGCAAGGGTTAAACAATATTCTCTTGCCAGAAGCAGGGTCCATAGTATTTATATTCCCCATCCCCAGTGCAGTTTTCTCTGGGTCCTAGCTGAACCCTATTTTTTCACAGGCTGCAGAGGCTGGAACAGCACAGAGCTGGGGCAGTAATGCGATCCACCACTAGGTCTGGCACATAAGGACGGCTGGTAAGGGATCACAACTCTTTCCCTGCTGCATCATAGTGGCAGCACTGCGTGACATCACATAAGGAAGGAACCTGGCTCCCGAAGGACTGTGTGGAGTGGAGCACCACTTCTCCCCATCTCAATAAATTAGACAAGGAGCAATAAATTTTTACGTGACAAGCCACTGAGATCTGAAGCTGTTTATTACAATAGTAACTAATACAGATGTTTTAATAAAGTCCAGAAATGTGCTATTTAGGGTATAAATATTAAATGTTGTAGTTCTTTTTAAAAAAACCCACTTAGATTTTCAATAATCTCTAACTGTACATTAAAAAAATGCACACATTGACCTTTCTGGATCCGTTTTTCAGTCTTCCAGGGAGATCTTCACACTCCACGCTAGGTTTGAAGCAGGAGTCCAATGGGATGAAAGCAGCGTTTTAGGAAACTGGTCTGCTGCACTGGGCTCCTTTACTCAAACAATGTTTTTCTGACCTCCACCACCTAGCCAGCATCAAGCTGGAGACTAAGGGCAGAAAAGTGAATGAAATACCAGCCCCGCCCTCACATTGTTTATGGTCATGGGAGCGTAAAAGGAGACTGGGCCATGAGTGAGTGATGCCAGGACCACAAAAAGTAAGACTTAAGAAAATGCTGCCCAAAAGGGACCTCTCCCTGCAGGCAGAGGAACAGCTCCAAGGAGAGGGATGGGCAAGAGGAAGGAGACTGTGAAGCAGAAAGTGTGGAGAAAAGTGTTTCAGAGAGCCCTGATCTTTGTTGAAGCAACCCACAAAAACCATAACTCGTTTCCTCTACTGGTTTATGAGAGACTATGGGACCTATTCCAAGAACAGAAGCAAAATGCAGTACTTTTTATGATTTACATTTTCTTCAGGTGGACTTCATGCACATTAAAAAATTAAAACTCTTCTAAGAAAGTATTCCTTAGTACTTAGTATTTTTTGGCATAAAGACAATTCTCTAGTTTAATCACACATTCTTCACTCAGAGGGTGATAATCTGGTTCCTGTGCACCTGCAGCCCCAGGTGAGCCAGTTCACGCACAGGCAACAAAATCAGTTCCGCAGCTTACGTTCCGGCCTAGACTTTGCTTAGCATTCTCACAAACACTGGTCCCAAGAGTCCAGGACACACTGTAAAGAGATCTATTTAGCACTACTGGAAGAAAAACAATGCGCAGCACGTGTCCTAGTGATGTGAGTGCATTTTGAACGTGTATTTGGTTTGGCTGTTAATGTCAGAAATCTAAGGTGTCCCATAGAACCAAGGGAGAGAATCGGGAGAGTAGAAACACAGTGTTACAAGACTAGACAGCATCCACTATAGCCTTCCAAATTCACAAGAGAGGGCCGGTTTCCAAAAGTGTGAAGTGTACTCCCTTCCCAGATCTGCTTATATAAAATGCTTCTTTCTTTATGATAAATTAGAACTACCTCTTTACTGCAAATGTCTGACATTTACCACAAAGATGGTCTGATACACAAGAAGGGAGCATAACTTCCCAGGAATGTAAAAGTGTTTCTGTCCTTCTATTTTGTATCTCATGAATATAAAATGGGAGTCTTAAATTTAAAAGCCCATTTTTATACAATCATTACCATATATGTGTGTGTGTGTGTATCTCTCTCTCTCTCTATATATATATATATCATGAAATAGTTCTAATTTTGATAGAGCATTAATATTGAAATTACCCAAAAATAAAGGCTAAATATGGCAAAACACCGCACTCACTACCCACATAAATAACCCACATACAGTGATTAAAGACCTGAAACACTTATTTTTCATATCCTGCCACAATTTAGCAACACCATTTTCCTGCAAGTTTTCTTGCTTTTCTTTGGGTAATTTATATAGTTTAGAGTCAATCTGTAAGTTATCTCAGAAAGTGTAATCTTTGAAAAAAGATCAGTAAAAATAAATAAATTTCTACTTACCTCTGTGACCCAGGGCTTAAAAAACACAAAATGTGAAGTACACTATGTAAAATATCAAAATATTTGAAAATAGTATATCAAAACAATGGACTTTTCAATAAAATATTAACACCACGTGAAAAAAATGTATTTCTTTGGCTAAAGCCATACCAAATACCCACTATAAAACAAAACAAAAAAAAAAAATACACACTTCCCTTTGGAAAATGTAAATGCATGTTTTAACATGTCATTAGGAAATTAGAAGAGGGGGGGAGAGCACAGCTAAAGGGATAATTTGTTAATATAATCTGTTTATAGTGGGGGGAAAAACAAAGCACTGTTTTGAATAAAAGATGACATGACACTATGCAAAATATTAATAGCAGTCACCATTTATGAGTTCCCTGTCGGGGGCCAGACTGCGCACCACGTACTTCATCACTTACCGACACCCAGTCCTATCAAGTAGGTTATTATTTTCCTTGTTTCAAAGATGGATTTGCTGAGGTTTAGAGAGCCAGAAATACTAGGCCAGGATTCCCACGTCAGGTCTGTATACTATTCATTAACGCCTGGAGGAAAAACTTCCGAGTCACAAGGCAAGATTTCTACCATTTTCTTCCGTAATTCCTTGAGAGTCTAAAATATTTACATCTAATTCTTTGCTTGAGGTTTCCTTAATCAACTATCCTACCTTTCACTTCTGCAAAGTCCACAATTTTATTGAAATGCACATAGTTCCAACTTGTACTGGCGGAATAAGAAACATTCCATAGCAAAAAACTCAGATTTTCAAAAATCTAATCTTCATCATGACAGTGATTATGCCTATAAGTCATCATATAGATACTTTTTAAAGCCCTTAAAGTAGCCACAAGTCACTGAATTCCAATAAACTTTCACACAAAGACACTTCACACTTCTAAATAGTCATTTAATAAGGATAGTTATCACCTCCTATAAAAACCACTAATACTGAAGTGAAACTGGTATTTCCTAAAGCAGTCCATAGGCCGCTATTGGTGCACTGGTCTATGAACTAATCCCTGGAAAATCATATCTAGAAACACACCGTATTACCTAAACTTCTGGTTTGAATGAACACCCACTGGTGGATCACTCTCCCCACGTCTCACTGAAAATTATGCTGTTCTCTCTGTTTCTGGCTGGCCTATGTGCAGACTAGGGTAGGGATCAAGAATCTTTTATCCTTCTAAGATCAATTCCAAGGATGCATGCAATGTTGCCAAGCCCCATAATTAATTACAAAAATAAGAACTTTTCCTTTCAAGTAAAATAAAAGGAATTTAGAATAGTCAAGTATTGAAAGGCGCTATCTACTATAGTTTCCAAAATAGCGCAACTGCCGGTGTTAGGCTTACCTTGAAGATGGCATTATATTTGAAGCCCTGAATTTTGTTGTAAACGGGTTAGTTGACTCATAATCAAAATAGCCCTGACGACTTTCATTAAACGCATTAGGCGATTTCAAGTCACATGGGCTATCGGATCCCCCATTGTTAAGTTTATCAGATCTCCGGCTATCTTTTTTTCCAGTCACTCTTTCAAAGAGGCTGACTTTCTCCCTTTTCTCTCTTTTATTTTCTTTTCTTACTTCAATTGGTTTTGAAAATAAATTCATGCTGCTGTCCCATGATTCACTGCTCTCTTCAAATGGATTTTTCTTCCTTGGCAGTGTTGCAAATTTTTGGGGTAATGAAGCAGTCACATTTGTAAATGGGTCGTTTTGTCTTCCAAAAGAAGGTTCACCTTCATCCACACTGCTGTCAGGTTGGTTCATTTTAGAAGTATCAAAGCTTAATGTTCTTCTGTGTGGCGATTTGAGACTTCCTGCAAACAATTTTGTAGTTAGTACATAATCAATGACACATTACATCACACTATTTGACACATTCTGTGTGCATACTGCTGCTTTTAGAATGAGAGCAATTAGCTATTTAAAAGTATTAACCTGTAAAATAATCAAGGAAAACAATCTTAAGGTGCTAAGGTATAGGTGTCTGAAGTATGTAGGCTAATAACAATTAATATAGTGCAAGACAATTAGCAATTTATTCAGCTCATAAAGAATCACATAAGCAACTTATAATAAAACTAGAGCTTCTGCTTTGCGTGATAATGCTATAAATTCTCAAAGATATTTTTTTATCAGCAGCATTAAATTTACTTTCTTACTTCTGAACATAAAAGGTTTTTTTCTAGGAATGTTCTGATGAAATGGAATATTCATTTATGCTTCAGGCTTTCAAAAGAGAAGAAACAGCAGTTAAAAAAAAAAGGCAGCCAAGCCACAAAGAAAGACTGGGACTCGTTTTTATTATCATCTGACAATATAAATACAATTCAGAATGCAGACAAGTTCCACCTTCAATGAGCTTATCATTCTGGAATACAGAAGACAATCAAGAAATAGATGATGACTACATTTAAAAAATACTACCAGGACACAGCAATTTTTATTTCCTACCTTTACATGTCAAACTTCAAGAACTAAAAGAGCACTGACAATACAGCTAGAAAGGACATGTCACTTACCACTTTCTGGAAGTACTCCAAAGGAATCGATCTGGCGTCCCAGAAGATGCGTTTGACCAATGGTGCCAGACTTCAGTTTCTCAGAAGACATGTGGGCCCCCGTTAAATCAGACATTGAATGCGCTGAAGAGAGTCGCTGAGGACCCAAAAGGAAAGGCTTTTTTGGTTTTGATTTCATCTGTATTTCACCACTTGAAAATTCAGTATTGGCATCAGGTATATGAGAACTTGGAATGATTGCCGAAGACGTATCAGAAAATGTTCCATCATTTTTTCTGCCTTTCATCTTATCTTTTAATTTTGCAAAAGGAGATCTTGTTTTGTCCTTCATTGATAAGTCAAACATGCTTGCTGTCATATTGTTCCTCATAAACTGAATATTGACCTTTATCTCACCCCTGTTTTTGGCTCTTTTTCCTTGTTTGGATTCTAATCTAAACCACCTTAAAGAGAAGGAAAAAATGGGTTGTAACATGTAATGATGAGAGGACATTGAGCTTTGTTATACACAAACGGCTACTTAGAGAAAGCTACTACACACCAAGGCAATGCAAGACTGGATCAGAACCTGTCAGCCAGAGCACTCTGGTTTTATTCAATGCTTCATTTACAAAGCTGATTACGATCTCTGCCATGTGACACACACCGAAAGAATAGGTCTTCCACATGTAGGAAAGGTCTTTAGATAATCTTTTCTGTCATGTCTTGAAAATCAACCTCAGAAATTCTTATCAACAGCAACTACTGTATTTCCATCTGGGATAGGTCTTGTAGTGGCCTAACAACATATTTTAACATTAAATATTTCAGAGACGCTGAAAGAATTCATTAACATAATCTATTTTTGAGGTCCAGAAGAAAATGACAAATAATGACCACATTTTAATGAAATAAAAAACATTTAGTCCCTAGTCCAAAATATTTCTTCTGTGAAAAATAATTCAAAGTATTTTATTAATATTGGAGGCTAACACATGTAGTTTTCTAATCATGAAAACTGCAAGAATGTAACTGAGGTTCATATAAAAAGGATCAAAGACGTTTCCTGAATGAAACATGCAAAATCAGTAAAATGCAAGAAGATACACACAGTGATGAATAAAATGCACAAACGCTTCCTATTAGAATCTATCTGCTTCATTGACTGTTGCTACCAGACAATACCAAATAAAAAATATTCAACTGATTTTAGTCATTTCAATGTATGACATGCCCATTTTTAAAAGATGTCTAAGGCAGTAAAGTTTATTTTGGTTTTGTTTACAGTATTTTTTATCCAAGAGAAAGTCTCCAGTTGTCAGTGTGACAAGTGGTCATTCTACAGGACAACAGCCTAAACTGCAAAATCAAGTCTGGAAGAGAGTTTTAACAACATTTTCACATCACTTGACAATAAAGCATACTATTCATTCCTACTGACAGGTTATTGTTTAAAAACAGCTCTAATCAAGCATAGCAAGTTTTCTTAGCTACAGACGACTTCTGATCTAATTTTACATTAGTTATTTCTCTGGCTGTTAACAGGATGTGCCAGAAGCTTTCATTTACTATACACCAAGTAGAAGACGGTGCAAACGTCTTTCCAGGCAGGAGAGAAAACTGGCACATAATCACACACCAGCTACATCCTAGCAGGTAACACAGCGGCAGATATTTTACAAAAAGCATTAACCTAAGACCCTAAACTGAAAAAATTCCCTTACTGAGACAAATGGTGAAATCCAAAGACATGGGAACTAAAAATAGAAGTAACAATAAACTACATGGAATAGTTTATTAAATCTGTAGAGAGATAATATTAAGAGAACTGCTCATAGCCAAACTTATGTAATTATGACACTGGTGACCGAAAGGCTTGGAAATGAAACAAAGTTTCATACCAATTATTTTTAACTCAGTTTTGGAAAACAGTTACTCTCCATGGGGGAGACATGCTTCTGATGGATGGTAACTTCAAAAATTCTCTAATAGCTCAAGCTATACAGAAAATAGGCACATGCACTATGAAAAAATTATCAAACAAAACAAAACCCAAGCACACAGAATCCTATATGCATAACAAATCAAAGCAAATCTTTGGAAAAAATTAAACCAATAGCCAATTAATGGAAGGGGATGAAGATAATCAAAACTCAGAATTTTACAAGTAAAACCAAGTAAATCGTTTACTTTAACAATCTTATTTCATAGATAAGAAAAGTGAAGAACAGAGAATAAGTAAGGTCCCCAAGTCAGATTAAAGTCAATAAGGAAAACATCTCAAGTTGATGGATAACATCTGCATGAAAGTAGTCCTTTCATACTTGATGAAGCACATATGTTAATAAGGCTAAACAAGGCACAACTGGTCACACGTTACAGGACACTATTTCTCAGGAGACATGAGGGCCAAACAGGCAGTGCAGTTTTCTACTACTAGAGTACATACTCCTTGAAGGCAGTTTGCCTTGCAAGAAATAAACATTTATTAAACTTCTATTTCTAGAACTAGAGTCTTAAGACAACCAAGTTACAACTCTATCACCGTGTGTCTAGATGCCACACTATTTTGTTTTTTGGTAGGAACACTAAAGACTTAAGAAAGCTTTAAGGACTAAATGCGAGTCAGTGTGGGAATACAAACTGTAACTAGAGCATTTTTCATTCCTCTTCCCCCAAAGAAAAACTGCAAAGAACTTTAACAAATACACTAATTTAAAATACTGGCATGACGAATAACTTTCATTGCTTTATTTGAAAATGATATGGTAAGGAAGTCTTAATGAGACCATCAAGAATCATTTCAGAGATAGCACTTGTTTTCCCAGGCTTCAAAAAAGATAAAATGAAGACACAGCATTTGAGGCTTAGAGGATTAATGCTGACTTTTTTTCACCTCTGGAGTGCTGGCTTTAAACTGTATATGGCCTCTGTTCAATTTTTAGTGGGCACAGGTCCATGTTCAAAACCACCACACATGTGGGAACTATTCCCAAGCAATTGGTGCTGTGTGGTCAGAAATGGGACAAGATTGGCAGTGAGGGTGCCAGAGGCCAGGACGCAGGTGCACGCAGAGATGCACGCACAGGTCTTAAACGCTGCATGTGTTGGAGTCATACCTAACTCCAGGGACTCTGATGTTATTACTTTTCATGAGCATTTTAAAAAAAAAATCAACATCACCCACTTATGTAGTAAAAAAATCAATAGATATTACATAACAGCACGAACGATTTTACCATTCTATTATTAAACACTGTATTAGTCCCTTAAATCTCCTGCCAGAACCAACCCAGACACCCATTAAAGTGGGAGATACAGAAGTTCTCTTTCCATGCCCCACTCAAAGTGTTCTGGCCTCAGGCCCTTCCCCCCAACTCCCTAGTTAAGGGGGGTCGGGGGTAGGAGGGCGGCATAGACTTTTCATTTCAAGGGACAAACATAGGTAAAATCTTAAGTTTTAGTTGTCACACTTCTTCACCTGTCGTGACACAACTGGAAAACAAGCTGTAAATACTTGTCCTCGGTGTCAAAAGTAAAAAGAGTCACACCCAGAAGTTTCCTGGGACTCCGAAATCAGCTGGCAGCCTTCCTCGCCCATACCAGTTTTCTACAAAGCACTTGGGAATATGCTGACAAGGTGCAGCTCTGTGCAGAATATTAAATATCTTTCTTGCAATACACCGGTGGCTCAAGTCTGTCTCTTAAAGTACCACATGTACAGCTGTGCTGGAAAAGGAAACTATTAAATATATTAAAAAACCAGAAATATTACCAATAAAGCTATCTCATCAACTATGTGGTCCCCATTTATCCACAAAGAAGAAATGTTATGGATTTAATAACATTGGAAAATCACTTTAAATGCAATAACATCACCAGTCCTGTTGATAATATTTAAAAGCATTCCCCCCCAAAAAAAAGGTTTAATCAATTGTACATAGTAGCCAATAGAGACTTTCAGTAGGGAACGTACAGTATTAGCATGTTGCTTAAAGCCAAATTTATTGCAAGTGTGATGCTGCCAAAGACATGGAGTGAAACAAAAACAAACTTTACAAGCTGACTTCATCCTTAGAATCTTCGGGGTCACACTGGGGCCTACTTGCACTCAAAAAGTTTATATTTCAGAGGCCTGGAAATATCATCCACTCACATTAAACGTACTGCAGATGCAGTATGAAAATTTGAAGTTACAATATACTTCAAAGTTTACATTTAAAACACTGTAAGTATTACACAGTGTTATCCAAAATTGGCAATTTCAAATAAAATATTTGGTAATTACCAATTTCTTACTGTAAATTTTGCTGAAGAACTCCTCAGAGGAAACCAAATGTCACTTTGTAAGTACCAAACAGTTCTATTAAAATGATTGATATATATTTAACTTTGCACTTTTTTAAACCTTTTTCTCCTGTTTCATAAATATTTACATTTCCTCAATTAGCTTAAGTATTTACTATTTCTCCCCTTGCAGTCCTAGTATTTATCTCGCTACTCTTTTATCTTACATATATTAAATCTCAGGTAAAGACCTCATGAAAAAAAACCTATAAAAACAAAAACTCCAAGAGAAGTTTGTAGGAAGATATATAGAAAAGAAATTAACATTAAAGGCACTGCAGAGACTGTATGAAATTTGAAGTTACAATACACTTCAAAGTTTACGAAGTTTATAAAGTCAACTTATATTTTCTCTCATTTTTCCCATCAATTTCAGACTAGAAATAACGTTAAGTTTAAAGAAGTGAGAACATAGTATTTTTCAGCTCTGAAAACACACTCTTTCTCAACTTAAGACATAATGATCGAGTGTTAATTTACATCATGATTTTTTAAATTAGAATGTATCTATCCTAAGCATGAAAGTCATTGCAAAGGTTATATTTCTGCCGGAAATGTCATGAAATCATTTCATCACAGGAGTTTAATTGTTGTCTCTAACAACATTATGTATGGTCTAAACACACTGGTTTTGCAGAACCACTTTGAAATAATACACTGGCTCTAATACATTGGATACCCAAAGGAAAAAGTCAGTGTGTTCAAGGTTGCGGATGTTTGTACATACTTTTAAAACTTTTACACTCCTCAAGATGTACTGCCCTGAAAAAAAATGGTTGAGCTACCCTACACCCAAATTGCGTTGGTAATGCTGAAATGACACAGTGAGTTCTAAATTTGGAAATTTATCTTTGGACAGCTTCAGAGTTCAACACACATATACATGTACATGTGACATCGTGGGAGATTTACTTTTCTGGAAAGGGATCATGCTTAAAGATGGTACCAATTTACATGTATGTTATTTTGTGTGGTCAGCACTGTGATCTTGCCCTCACAGTAGGCAAAGAATGTTCATTTATGTAAAATTCAGTGCCAAATACTCAGTTATTTAACGAGTTTACCTCAAACAGAAATGAGAGAATAATGGATCACTAATGACTGCAGTTAAAAATGTTGCTTCCCAAGGGCTATTTTTACTTCAGATTCATGCAAAGATGGTGCTTAAAACTGGGTCACCTTTCAGTCCAAAAACCAATGCCCCAGGTGTACAATTATTCCCAAGAACAGAAAAACCCATAAATAAGCTATAGTTCAGTGCCCCCAAATTCGAAAGAAACGACGTAACTTACTCTGTTTTCCTTCTTTGTTTGTCCTCAAAGATGTCATTGAGGTTGATTGCCACCTGCCCTAAAAACTTATCCAGGCCCACCAGGGACCTGTGCATCACTATGAGGAAAAGAATGTATTTCTCTGGGTTGCCCTGCATGAGCAATCCAGGCAGCTCAAAAGAGGCCTCTTCCTTCCAGACAGGCTCAAGGGTTTTCTCGGCCACCGAGGTGGAGTACTTTTCCTTGCCCAGCTGAATGATAGTGTACGTGTCATTGGTGCCACTTTTGCCTTTTGCCCTAAGATCTTTGGCTTGGAGCACAGTGACCTGGACGTGGGTCGGGAACCACTTTTGGGCTTGCTCGGACAGCATCTTTCCGCCCCTGTCTCTGCCCCCAGCTCACCCGCGCAGGCGGAGCCCCTCGGGGGGCGGGGGGGTGCCGGGGGGCCGGGAGCCCAGAGCCTCAATCCTGCATCCTAGGGGCGCCCCACGGCCCGGCGCGCTCGCAGCGGCCCGACCTCCCCGGGACCAGGTCAACACGCCCCCCCGGCGCCGCCGGGCGGCACGGCCGACTGGGGGTCGCCCTCCTCCGGGGCCGCGCGGGGGCCCACCATCCCCGGCCGCGCCGTCCAGGCCTCCGGCGGCCTCCACGCCCGGCCCTCGGGGGCGGCTCCGGGCCGCGGGCAGGTGAGGCCTGGGCGGCCGGGCCCCGGGGAGGGCGGCGGAGGCGGGGGGCGCCCCCGGCCCGGCGGACTCGAGCTCGCGCGCCCCGATCCGCCGCCCCGGCCTCCCGCCGCCTCCGCCGCGCCCCCGCTTCCCCGCGCGGGCCCGGCCGGCTCCTCCTCCGACCCCGGTAATACGAACCGCCGGCGGCCCGCGCGGCCTCGCTCCCTCTCGCAACCTCTCCCTCCGCCTCCGCCTCCGCCCCTCGCCGCGCTCCTCCTCCCGGGCGGGCGGGGCGGGGCGGGGCGGGCCTGGGGTGCGGCGGGGCGGGGGGCGGGGGGTGCGGGGCGCGGGCCCGGTCTCGCCCGCCGGCGGCCCCTAGCACCGGGCGGGCGGCGGCGGCGGCACTTCCGGGTTGGCCGCCTCCATGTTGCGCGCCGAGGGGCGGGGCCGGGCGGGGCCGCGGGGTCAGAGGTCAGCGCCTCCCCGGTTGCCGAGGCGACTGGGGGCGCGCGGCCGGGGCGCAGCCGCCGGAGCTCCCCGCGCTGGGTGGGGGGCCGTGGGCTCCCGGGGCGTTTTGCGCCGGCCGCTCGCGCCTGATCCCGCGCTGGGGACGCGGGGCCTGCGCCGCGCGGGGGCTCGGGAGAGCTGGGGCCGCCCTGAGAGGAGCCAGCCCGGGCCCGGGCCCGCGCCCTCTCGGTCTTTGGAAGCTGTGTTGCTGCAGCCCGACGCCCGGCGCCTGCTCCGGTCGGGCGTTCCACAAATGGTGGTGGAAGGAGTTAGGCCTCCTCGTTGACAGAAAACACTTTTCCCTAATCCCGTAGCCACTCTGCTCCTTCCCCCCTCAAACCCCCCAACCTGTCCCCCAACCCCCCACCCCCGCCTCCCCCAGCAAGCGATGGAAGGAAGCCGAGATAAGAATCCAAAACGTACCAAGATTGATGGAGATCGCGGAGGCGCTGGCCTGGAGTCAGAAGGCCTGGTTCAGAGTCTGCCACCTTCAGTCTGTCACTCTGGTCAAGCCATGTCCCCTCTGGGAGCCTCAGCTTCTTCAGGATAGAACACATCCCCACCGTGTCTGAGGCCCCATGCCACCCAGGGCCACTCACACCTGGGGGACTGCCCAACTTCGGAAGCCAGGAAGGCAGCTCCCCGCCAGCCCTGCTCTTGTTCCTTGGACTGAAGCCACATAAGCTACTTCGCCAGGTGCGAAGGACAGTGCCTCACCTGAAGCTAAGAGAAGGTCTGATGGCCACCAGCACTGTTAGAATGGAAAGTCTTGGGAGAAGAAAATGGGATATGCAAATATGCTCTTTCCCAGACTAGGCTAATCTAGCAGGGAAAGTATGGGGAATGGCTGATGAAATGGGAGCCTTGCTTAATGCCTGCTTCTGCCAGAAATTCGGTACAGAGCTGGCAATGGGCACTTAGTTTCCTGAGACAAGGAGCTGAAATTTGGGGAGCCTCGATTGCCTTCTCCAGATATTGTACAGAAAATAGCTTTGTCCCCTCTATTTCTCAATAACAAGAAACATGGGTATCCTACCTTTATTGTGTTTATTTTGTTCATATCTTATCTCCCTAACGAAGTTCTACGCTCTTTGGATTTTCTTACAGACCAGGGGCCATGCCTTCACCGTGCTGGGCATGCACCAGGCACTCAATTTATTGAAGGACTTAATGCCTTTAGTCCCTTTTCAAGACTAATTTTGAGAGTAAAATAACTAGAGAGGTGCATACACTTCTCCAACTTCAAATAGCCATAAAAATGTAAGGTGTTGTGTTTGTTATATGCAGGCAAGATTTAAACCTTTCCATTTGAGGGGGATATTATGTTCTCCTTGTTTTCTAAGTGCCCCTCTGTTTGCAGAATATTAGCTGCAGTAATTAAAACTCTAAGAAACAAGGGCCTTATTGTTAAATACTTTTTGAAAGGAGGTATGTGAGTGTCCAATATATTTAGGTTAGAAGAGCAAGTAGAAAATGGAAAAACCTTCATGGGGTGGGAATAACATTGTACGTTATTTTACTCTTGTGGCAGGAAGACACTTCTCTGAATCTATGGGACAGCACCAGAAACCTTAAAAAACATCCAGATTCCAGCACAATCTTTCAGGATCCAGTTGACACTAAGATTTGCTTTCATTTATTGGAAATTCCAAATTTTGACATGAGTGCTAAGTGAAGTAGGCACTCCCAAAAGAGACATTACGTTAATTTACCACTAAACTCTTCAGAGTACCAAACAACAGATGAATCTTGTGTGATCATGAGCTAGATACCATGTGGAAGGAAAAGCTCTAGTATTAAGTCATTCTAATGAAAGTTTACTATAAAATGTAAGAAACCAAAATTAAAAAAAGAAGCAGAATGTTCCATCTCTAAGAAATAGTGTACAAAAATGTCTTATGTGAGAAACAGAAGAAAATCCTACTGTGTACCTGACATCTGGATCCCAGAGTGGGCAGTTGTCAACTCTAGAGAAAAATATTCTTAGGAATCTTTTTCTTATATCCAGAAAGGGGAGACCAGCTATGGTCAGGGGGGATTTGATTCTTAGGAATTTTTAGAGTGTATTGGAACAGTGTTGGAATGTCAACCAGAATCTCCAGAGAGAAATAATATGACACCTGAAACTTATAAAAAATGGCATCATGAAAAAAAAAAACTAAGTTTGGAATTTTATAGATTGCATTTTGAAAAGTCTCTATGTCTCTATTAAAGTTTATAATAAAATAAACAATAGGCAATTAATTATAATAGTGGGTATGTGTTTCTAAAGAGCTTAAATTGTTTGGTAAGCTTTATTGGTGATTATAAACTTGTTTACAAGTATCATTTCACTCATCTCTGAAATATAGCCATCTCAAGGGTGGAAGCCATGTCAGCAGTAGCTCACAGCAACATCATAACACACTCCGACACAATTCTGAGAATCCTCTAAAGACAAGTGCTGAACAAATGGAATTACTAACATCTCTTCCTCTACCAACTAAATTTCTTTTGAGTTTTCCCAAAACCTAGCTAGACCAAAATTGTTTAGTTTTACAATCTGGCAAGATCAGAAGTTATGATTTAGTGTTTATGAGAATAAGAAAATAGCATACATATTTTTGCTCCAACCAAATAAACACACAAACAACAACAAAAATAAACTAAATAGAATACAAAATTGAATTATAAAAATCATTTCCTAAAAGAAAGTGTTTTCCTTTTTGGATTGTTTATATTAAGATAGTGGAAACTTGGATCAAATATATGGTTGAATCATTGCGAAAAGACTGAAAATTGCTTAAAATTTGGAGTCAGATTGCTTCTGCAAAAATGTCTATTGCCTTACAGTTTTAAAACATTCCTTTTACAAACTTAAAAATATACATGAACAATAATTTTAAAAGGAAAGGCTTGAATGAAAAGGATATCCCAGAATTGAAGGGAATCACTTTTATGTTCTATCTTATGACTAGTGATATATCCAGAATATTTCTTGATTTAAACCATTACAATGCATGCTGCAATCAATAAGAATGATTTGACCAGAGAGTAAAAATAGTCAATATTTGTTGTCTAGTTGTGGTGGATTTCACAGATGAAAATATTTACTAATTACTGCACCTATTAAAGTGTCCTAAGGAGATCACTCTAATCATAGCATTGTGAAAGATTTTTTTTTTCCTCTCTCTTTGGGCATCAACATTTCTAAAAAAAACTCAGCTTGCAAATCATTGTAAGACAATAGATTCCATGCTCTTAGTATTTAAATAGCTTACTGGGTCAAGAGTATGACTACACTGGTATATATTATGTAACAGATATAATTTTCTAGATGGAGGTTCAGAGACATAAGGATAAGAAGCTTTTCCGAAGTATTATCACACACACACACATATGCTTCAGTTATGTAAATAACTCAAATGTGTATAAGATTTGTACACATATACATATGACCAAATTCCAGAATTATATTGGAAGGGTGTCTGTGTGTGTGTATACATATACATACATAGGTTAAAGTACATAACCCATCCAAAAATAATAAAACATATTTGTTAAGTTGATTTGAATGTATAATCACAAGAAAACAGCAGTGTTTGGGAGGTTTTGGATATTGCCTTCATCACTGGGCTGATAAATTTGTTTTCTGGCATTGGCAGTGTATGGTCTGTGTGTGTGACTGGGAGAAACAACATGTGTCTCTGTAGTATAGAAGGCTGGGTCTTAACTCCAAGTGTGCTTTTCACTAGCTACATTTCTCTAGGGAAGAAATTTTTCTTCTTTGAACCTCTGTTTCTTCATCTGTAAAATGAGAGTCTATAATAGGAACCATTAAAGCATTCCCTAACATTTAATAATTCTAAGTAGTTATCCACAGCAAAAAGAGGCAAATTGTGCTATAATTATCTCATTGAATTTGGTCACTATATTAAAACAGATTCCCTTTTTATGTAATTTATTAATGAAAGACCATTTAAGAGAAAAAAAATCTTCAAGATGTCCTGAAATCCCTCTCTCCCAAATGAAAATGATCATCCCAGAAAGGAAGTGTATATAACTCCTACTAGTGGACTCTGCACGAGGAAATTGACACTAACAGCTCAAGATTAGGAAGAAATTACTTATTAGCACAAGTGTTTTGAAAAGCCTTAAACTTTTCACTTGTAGTAATAAGCATAACTCTTATTCATATTATTTGTTGCTTCTTCAAACTCTGAAGGCATGCTAGGGAGGATAAGAATTTATAGAGCAGAATACATATTTGCACTTAAGAATGTTCTGGTGGATGCCTTTTAATTTCTCCTTGGTGGTATT